GGATCTCATCCGGGACTCCGAACAACATTCGGTAACCACATACAAGCTTCCTTTATAACCCTAGCGTCATCGAACCTTAAGTGTGTAGACCCTACGGGTTCGGGAGACATGCAGACATGACCGAGACGTTCTCCGGTCAATAACCAACAGCGGGATCTGGATACCCATGATGGCTCCCACATGTTCCACGATGATCTCATCGGATGAACCACGATGTCAAGGACTTTATCAATCCCGTATTCAATTCCCTTTGTCTATCGGTATGTTACTTGCCCGAGATTCGATCGTCGGTATACCGATACCTTGTTCAATCTCGTTACCGGCAAGTCTCTTTACTCGTTCCGTAACACATCATCCCGTGATCAACTCCTTGGTCACATTTGCGCAAATGATGATGTCCTACCGAGTGGGCCCAGAGATACCTCTCCGTTTACACGGAGTGACAAATCCCAGTCTCGATCCGCATAAAACAATAGATACTTTCGGAGATACCTGTAGTGCACCTTTATAGTCACCCAGTTACGTTGTGACGTTTGATACACCCAAAGCACTCCTACGGTATCCAGGAGTTACACGATCTCATGGTCAAAGGAAGAGATACTTGACATTGGCAAAGCTCTAGCAAATGAACTACACGATCTTTTGTGCTAGTCTTAGGATTGGGTCTTGTCCATCACATCATTCTCCTAATGATGTGATCCCGTTATCAACGACATCCAATGTCCATAGCCAGGAAACCATGACTATCTGTTGATCACAACGAGCTAGTCAACTAGAGGCTCACTAGGGACATATTGTGGTCTATGTATTCACACGTGTATTACGATTTCCGGATAATACAGTTATAGCATGAATAAAAGACAATTATCATGAACAAGGAAATATAATATTAACACTTTTATTATTGCCTCTAGGGCATATTTCCAACAAAAATGGGTTCTTCACAATTTAGTTGATGGTAAAGAATTAGTTAAGCCGACATTCCAATTACTTTACTAGATTAGTGGTATTGCACTTATTTTTCATAGAATATGAATATTTACTTTGTTTTTCATATCACATGTTTAAGATATTAAGTTCAATCTTCTTCTGTTGGCACCCAAAAGTTTGTCAAACTATTTTACTTTTCCTTTATGCAGCAGAATGTCCATCATCACAGAATCTTAGCTGATAGACGGTGCGCTTTTTGGCGGAAGCTGAGACAAAGATTTCTATTCACCAAAAAGATAGAGCCGCCATCAGCAAGCACTGACGAGTAGCACAGTCTCAGCCGATGCATCGACGAGCTGAGGCGGGCTTCCAATAGAGATCAGAAACAAGGAATGGCCTTTTGAGCTGGTAGAGGGATCACTAGACGTGGTGTTCATGTTTGTGTTGGCTTACATGCAGAAATAAGGAGGATAGTAAGACTCTTGGAGGTCATGTCTCTGCCATTCAAGGATTTCGATATCTGAATGTTATGACAATATATAGATAAGGGAGATAGCCCTCCGCGTCCTGGTGGCTACTGTATGCTGCAGCGAAGGGCACACTTCAATTACTGTGCAGGCAGATGCGGTGATCCCGGGTGTGCTTTGAATAGATATCAAGGACGTCATTACCCGAGCCGTTCCTATGATTGAGTGAGTGGTACTTCCCTCCCACCCCACAGATTACACTAATTTGTTTAATTATTATTGACTGGTATGACCTAATTAATCTGTACACTTAGACATGCGACCAAGGAATGAAAACTCTTCTCCAGAGATCTTCAAAATAGTACAATATCAGGTATTGTAGAGTACAATTTGTTTAAGCTAAGTTTTTTTTTTGCATGGAAGCTAATTTTATATTTGAAGTGTAATAGATACACATGCCTGAATCTGGATACACTCCACTGCTGATGGTAATACTTTCCAGTCACTCACAAACAATAAGCTTCGGCATACAAGGCAGAGTCCAATGCTATTGGATTGGGGTGCTGGTATGCAATTTCTTGTACATTTTACTTCTATAGGACTTCCAATTACTGGCTACAAACTTTGTACAGGGCAGTCTGAGCTACCACTTGGTGAAGATGGGATTCAATATGTTCAGTGATACCCTTTTTTGTGTGTAGGGAATCACTGATATGATACAACTATTTGTTATCTGAATTTTCGAATATATGTACACCCATGGTGACGTTTCAATGCTCATTTATAAAGCATCCATCTATGAATGAATTTCTGAATATTACCACATGCAATGTGTATGTATGATGATAGTAGTACACTTGCGATGATGCAAAACACTTATGATGATGTTATTCAAGTATTGTACTACAGTTGCATTCAAGTCATTTTTTCCGTTGCAACGCACAAGCATTTGTACATATATAAATATATACATATACAACACCCTTATAATGTATACTAATTAGTCTTTGGTCAAATAAACTACTTAGCAACTCAGCTTTGCACTTCGCTTTGCCAGCATTGCCGCCAACACCAAACACAACCAGCCATCAGAACGTCTCCTCCGCGACCCTCAAAAAAAAATGTCTCCTCCGCTAGCATTAGCGCCGAGCAAAGACAACAAGCTATCAGGTGAGTTCATCATTATCTCCTTCAACCTGCCAAGCCATCAGGTGAGTTCATCATTATCTCCTTCAACCTGCCATGTATAAATTAAAAAATAATACATTGATTTTAAAAAACTTAACCTTATTTCTGACGTTTGCAAAAATTAGATTAAAAAATATTGCATAATGGCACGTGGAGCAGGTTATATTTCATTTTTTGCCCGGTGCAACGCACGGGCATTTGTACTAGTATAGAACAAATTATTTCACTGAACATGAGACATAATCAAAGCATGGGAACTAAACCAACACAACATACCATGTACTACTTATTATATATTCTTCTCAAGACATTGATCATCTCAGACACAAATACTCAAATCTTTTGTTCTTCTCAAGCTTCTCACCATCCTTTTCCCCTTCATTGGCTGCTAATGAAGCTTCAACAACTGTTTCTAGCATTGGCTGCAAATGCAATCCTTCCATCAGTTCTATTGGATTGAGAAGTGGTTTGTCTTTGTCCTCCTCGCTTATCACCAGGCTTGGACACAACAAGCAATTACACTCTGCAGGATTTCTTGTCATGCATGATAAACATCACTTTCTGGCCGGTGGTGCTCACTATGTCACCAAGCTATCTTGGCGACACATCATTGTGACATGTCTTGTGCACGTTGAGCCCGGACCCTTGCTCGGGTCCCATAAACACCTAATTCATTTGTATTGCAGTTATTCGCTACCTCCCTCGGAAAGTACCAGCAGATCGTGCACTGTTGAGGCCCCGGAACGACACCAACAGCAGGAGGAAGGCAAGGTGTAGACCTCCTAGACCCCATGTCAAAGACCATGCCCTGATCCCTACCTCTCCCACCTATCCAGTAGACACAATTGCCCTTGAGCCCTGGAACACCTTCGGCATGCATCGACACCGCATTGCTCCTCCCAACAAACATCGAGTATCCCCCCAAGTCAGCCACTGCGTCCCAGCATGGCCTGCGCCGGGGATCATACTTGAGAACAAATATTTCATCCTCCTCTATACGGCGATGCTCACCTCCCGGCAACTGCAAAGTGACCGTACAACTAGCATTCCTCTAGATCTGGTACATGTTGCCATTGCAGAACACTAGGTTCTTGGCACTCGTGAAAGCCGAGATAGTGACGTATGGTGGGGCGATATTGCCCACCGAAGACGAGAGCAGTGGTTGCACGCTAGCCGACGCGTTCAGGTCTGGTCCGGCATTGTGCATTCGAATGATGCGCATGTTACACGTTCCAAGATCCTCTGCTGATGTCTGGTCCTCGATGATGACGGGTTTCCGGAGGCGGCGTTCCGGTAGGCAGAGCACATAGACATTCCCAAACCGAGTGAGGCAGTAAACCATACCATTTTGACCATTTTGATGGTAGACGACATCGATGAGCTGGTCTCCAGTGGCAAGACGGACGCGGTCAAGGACGGCCCACCTCCTGGCCCCCGCGGTGACGTAGGCAAGCCTGTCGATGTCGCAGATGGTGGCGGCGGCGAAGTCATCCCTAGCAGGGTCAGGCGTGAAGACGATCTTGGAGAGCAAGCGGGTGTCGTAGATGAGCGGTGGTAGGAGGATCTCGGTGGTGGTGACTGGGTGGAAGAAGGTGAGCAGGCTTTGGCCGTCGTAGAGGCAGATGGAGAGGACAAGCCACCCGCCTCCGCAACCGAGGCAGCTCCTAATCGGGTAGGTGGTCGTGAACTCAAAGGAGCCGCGCATGGGGGGCGAGGTGTTGGGGCAGGACGAGCCTGAGGGGATTGCCTCGAGGCCGAAGGAGCGATGCGCGGGGATCGAGACGGCGGCGGCGTCCGACGCCTGGTGGCATCGTCGTGGAGGAGGACGAGCAGCGACGGCGCCGGCGGCGCGAGCTCGCGACGCCAGGTCGTGCAGGTGCCCCGCACGCTGGTGTAGAACCTGAGGTCGTCGAGACCATCAGCGACACGGCGGAGGAGCTTCGGCGGCAGATCTGCCCAGCCCTGGAACAACGTCGGGATTCCTGTCCTCCGTTTCGGTGAGGAGTGGAGGGATTGTGTGTGGGCCTAGGGTTTCTCGGCGGGCTTGGCCTGACTTCCTTCTTTAACCCAAATCGATAGTACTTCTCCAAAATCAAGGCATGCATTAATTTAATCAAATCAAGTCGAATATTTCACAACCCAATCAAAACTTTCCCCTCCGAATACGGGGATCAAAACCAATCTTAACATATTTGGTCCTTTTTTAAAATCTTACCAAAACCAAGAGTAAATTAAAACTTTCCTTGCATTGCGTCTGTCGTTGCACAGCAGCACAAGAGAAGACTGCCTGCCCGCCCGCCAGTCGCACGCCCCCCTCCATCCTTCCTTGCTTCTATCTTCCATTCCGCCGGCCGCCGCCGCCGCCACCTCCGCCCGTGTGTGATTTGACTAGAAGAGAAGAGAAGAGAAGAAAAGATGCTGCCTTGGATCTTCAGCCGCAAGGGCGCCTCGGGCTTCTCCTGGGCCTCCACCGCCGACCAGGTCACCGCCGGCATCTCCGCGTCCGGCCTCACCGCAATAGTCACCGGTGCGTCGAGCGGGATCGGCGCGGAGACGGCGCGGGTGCTGGCGGCGCGCGGGGCCCACGTCGTCATGGCCGTCCGCAACCTCGCCGCCGCCGACGCCGTGCGCCAGGCCGTCCTCGCCGAGTCCCCCGCCGCCAGCCTCGAGCTGATGGAGCTGGACCTCTCCTCCCTCGCCTCCGTCCGCAAGTTCGCCGACGACTTCGCCGCCACCGGCCTCCCCCTCAACATCCTCGTGTAAGGCAGCAGCCCCTCTCCTAATCCCCACACGGCTCCACTGTTGCGATTTGTGAGGACCATCCATTCATTCAGGTTCAGGTTCAGTTTCAGTTAGCCATTAAGTTCAGAGAAACCCCTGCTAGGCCTCTCCTCTCCTCATGAGTAGAGTAGGTGAAAAATGAGTACTAGTTTCAGTCAACATTGAGATTTCTCTGCTTCAACTTGGACTATGTATGAGATGTTGCAACTAGCAGTCCAGTGTAGAAAAGTTTCACAGGGTGGGACAAAAAATATTCAGGTTCGGGTTCAGTTAGGGGCTGTCGGCCATTAAATTCAGAGAGCAACATCTGCATCATGAGTAGCGAGATGGCTCATGCATCAGTCTGGCTGCAACCTTTAGTTTCAGCAGATTTCTGTCAACTTATAGTTTGGGTGGATGTAATTTCCGGGTTTCTTTTCTACCTCAACTTTCACCATAACATGTTTTTGGTTGGGGTAAGTGCTGCCTCCTGCAACTAGTAGATCAGCGTAGGAAGGCTCGACAGGGTTGAAAAAAGATATTGTGCTGGTACCTTCAGTCCTGAATTCAGGCACAATCGTCCAGATTTCCAAATTTTGAGGAGGCTATAGGAATGGGAAATTTCATTTCATGCAACGGTAATCGGTTTGTAGCACTCCACTCTAGAGTTGGTATAACACTGCTACTGTCCTGGGTACAAGGTCATAGTACTGGTCCGGTATTTGCGCAGACACGACGCTTCTTGCGCGACATCGCTTGAGTTGATCATGGAGACAAGAATATGTTACTGCTTGTACTGTACCTTTCTTCAGTAATCTGACCTAGTGTATTTCCTTTTCAACAACTGATGTCATCTACTCAAGTCTAGTGTCTTTCATGCTTCCTCGCTTGCACATTTGCTAAAGCGTACTATACTAGCTACATCGTGTTCCCTGATTGAATATTGCTTTCTCTGGCTGGCAGCAACAACGCGGGCGTAATGGCGACTCCTTTCACCCTCTCAAAGGATGGCATCGAGATGCAGTTTGCAACTAACCATGTCGGTATGCATGATTACCAACTCCCATGTACTACTCCCTCCGTCCCAAAATAAGTGTCTCAGCTTTGTACTAGCTCTAGTACAAATTTGTACTAAGCTCAAGACACTTATTTTGGGACGGAGGGAGTACTTGACTAGCTGATGAACACAGCCACATATATACCCTGATAAAGAACACATCATTTCAAGAATAGTGTTGTCAATTTTATTCCAGTGGCACTCCCCAGGCAGCGAGGTTGTCTTTGTATGCCTTAATGTAAGTTTGAATGGCCCCTTGATGTAACATTGCTGTAGTACTGCTGCTCCTGAACTCTGAACCTATCATTAAAAAAAAATGCTGCCAATCCTAGAGCAGTACAAAACCTGCAAATTATCTCAGAAGACAGTTGCAAGCTTTTAATTTCTACTTCTCCTAACCCTTCTAGTTCATTTCTGTTTCACCTAACTCTTCATGTCATAATATCCAGGGCATTTTCTTCTGACAAATCTTTTGCTGGAGACCATGAAAAAGACCTCTCGTGAATCAAACGTGGAAGGAAGAATTGTTAATGTTTCGTCAGAGGGGCACAGGTTTGCATACAAGGAAGGCATCCGTTTCGCCAAGCTGAATGACGAGGAAGAGTATGTAATTTCCCTGCGGTCATTATGTTTTCCCCTACCATTTACTTTGTTTCAAGTCAAACGACTCACTGGCTGTTTCAACCTTGCGTTGTGCAGGTATAGCACCATTGCTGCATATGGCCAGTCAAAGCTTGCAAATATTTTGCATGCTAATGAACTTGCCAGGAGATTTAAGGTATGTCTCGTTCCGTTCTGATTTTGTGGTTGTGGCATTGTGCCATGTCTTGGGTTCATGTTATTTTGAATTTTTTAGGTCCAGCCGGTTCTATGTCGATGTTTGTTCCAACATGAGTACTTGTGGTAGCAAGCACTGTCAGTTGCATTTTTTCTAAGAGTCTGCAGTTGGACTCTAAAATCACACCACTTTCTGACATAAAAGAAAGTTTAGGGGTTGTTCCACACGATCTTCATGAGACAACTTCATTTGTTATAGAGAACAATCGGCATCCAAATCCATTGTCTGAAAGCTGAACTGTTTGCTCTTAATAACTGGTTTTGTCTGTCTTCAGTTCTTTATCAATATGATATATAGCTTTGTTTCAGCCCAAGTATCTTAAATCATGATTCAATTTTTTGTCAAACAGGAAGAGGGTGTTAACATCACTGCAAATTCTCTACATCCTGGAGCTATCATCACGAACCTTCTTCGTCACCACAGCATCATCGATGGTAAACATACTTGGCAGCAGATATCATGCGGCACCCCTCCTTTCATAAAAGAAATCGTCTTGATTCATGCTTCCTCTTGCTTTGAGATTCGAATAACTCATGGCACCGACAAAGAAAAGGAAACGCAGTAGATGGCAAGGGTGAGAGGCAGAAATAGCAGATCTCCATGGTCAAGTCAAGGACTTCTTTTTGAAATTGCAGCGACTCATATCATCATCATCATCATTTTTTGTCAATATATGTTAAACTAATAAAACGAATACATTCGCTATGTTGGTTGAAATCAGATCTCCATGGCCAAGTTCTGCCTTTTGAAATTGTAGCTTGACTGATATCATCATTTTTTTTCTCGTCGTATGCAGCTCTCCATCGGACGCTTGGTAAACTGGTGCTGAAGAACGCCAAACAGGTACACTTTGGCACTATGTTCGGTCTTCTTCACAGGGTGTTGTGTCAATTTTACAGTATTATTACAGAGTCTCCATCATGCTAAAGAAAAGGCAATGAATGTAGCACTCCATGTTATGTTTAGCATGTATGGTCTGCTAGGTGACTAGAGTATTATTGTGTTGGTAGTACAGATCTAGAGATCTCAGTGAGTGAGTGAGCCATTTGTTAACATGGGCTATGTTGGGAGTCATTTTGGCACTGTCCATTGTAGCTTGCCTCCTGGATCTGTCTTGGGGTGATTCTGATTTGGGTTTGGATTTGGGAACTGGAACTGCAGGGGGCTGCGACGCAGTGCTACGTGGCGCTGCACCCGGACGCCAAGGGGGTGTCGGGCAAGTACTGGTGCGACAGCAACCTGTACGAGCCGAGCGACAAGGCCAAGGACGCGGAGCTGGGGAAGAAGCTGTGGGACTACACCCTCGACCTCGTCGCAGCCTGAAGGATGTCATGTTTGGTTTGGTTGATGAGGAGCGATGAGAGGAGGGAGATGAGATGAGAGGAGATGAAGGATATGGGAGGAACTCAAGCAAGTGGTGTAATGTATGTAATGTACAACAAAAACAGCTGAGTCTGAGTGCCTGGTAAAACAGACAGATAGGTGTCTGAATTCCGTCCTGTGCTGTGCAGATGAGATGCAACAAGAGATTTTTTGTTGGTGCGGTACGAATATGCTCTACCTCCCCTCCCCAATGAGAGTGTCGTCGATACGGGTATCTGGGCCGTGAGATACTGCCTCCTTCCTTCTATTCCTTTTTTCAGACAAGGATGGCTCCTTCCTTCTTGTGTACTCCCTCGGTCTCAAAATAAGTGTTATGAACTGGTGTGACATCTTCAGCTGGGCCCACTTACTCTCCCATATTTGTCCCGGCGGACAGTCCAGACACTGCCCGGGCCGAAAAACCGCGCCAACCAGAACTCACATATCGACCTCAAAATGTCCGCTCTCTCCAGCACCCTCGAACCCAACCCATATGTGTGGCGGTTATGAGGTGGGCCCAGACATACCCGAACGCATCCGCCACGCTGGACTAGCCCATGCCAGCTCCACACCACCTCAGGCCAAACCCTAGGCCTCACTCTCAACTGCTTTGCTCCAGTCCCTTTCCTTCCCATCCGCTCGACTGTGATGCGCTCGCAGTGGAGTCTTCGACATACGTCGTCCGACGAGGGGCTCGCCCTCCATCGCTCATGGGTGGACACGGGCCGTTCTTCGAGCATCACGCCGTCCCCGGCGGGTGTCTAGGGTGAATGCAACCGCGGGCCGAGGCGCTCCGAGCCATCGTCGATGGACCATCGTCGCTCATGCAGCTTCCGTGTGTCGGCGTTGGCACGCACCCTTGTGCATCGTTGGTTGATCTTGTCGTGTCCTCTGAGCCTGCAGCGGCTTCCGAAGTTGGAGGCATGGGCGACTCGGCTCACCAGGCAGAAGACCCCGCGTGAGGCCGGATCTAGTCGGTGCGGTGAGGCCCCAATTGTCCGCCTGCCATCTGACGACGACGATGACCCACCGCATGGGTTCTACAACCAGCTCTGGAAATGTCCGGGGTGGAGCGCCTATGCCGCCGGCACCACTTGCGCGGACGCAACGGATTCCCGCCGGGACAACTAGGACGGCTTCTGTAACGGGGCCGGCGAAGAGACATGCAGACGGCAAACTCCTCCTCGCGCCCCGCACGAGATGAGGTCCCAGTCGGCGGATCCAAAGTTGCTGGACTTGGATCCACTGCCCGCATGTATTGGATTCAGAGTTACGGACTTGAAACTTGAGTGGATTGGCAAGTGGCTATGGTTTTGTACGGATGCCTAAAAGGGAGGGGATATTTGTGGGGGTCAGGATGGGCTAGCTTTTGCTGGATTCGATATGGCGGGTGTGCCCGAGCCTCCTTGTATCCGCCCCAGATATGAAGGGTGCCGAACATCCCGTATAAGGATAGTTTGAAGGGTCATGATTTTGTGATGGGGCCGAGTGAGGGAGGGAGGGTTTTGTCCAGTCCGGTGGTTGTGCCCGAGCGGAGACACGCACTAGTTAACACAAGAGGGATCCCAAGTGGGCCCACTGGTCAGCGTCTTGTTGTTCATGAATACGAGGAGGAGGTGATCCAGAAGAGGACACGCCAGCAGCAGCTTTGGAGGCGGAGCAGATCGGACGGACGTGGAGGAGGCCTCGCCGTGCCGGTGGCGGAGATGCCCATGTGTTTTGGTTGAGGTTGGAGCGGTGAGAGAGAGTCCACTTATCCGCACGTCCACCTCTCCTTCTCGTCCCCTCTCCTCGCTCCCTCCATGGCCATGGCTGCTTTCTCTCTTCTTCTTCGCCGGAGACAGATGCTTCCCTGAGCTGAGCTGAGATTCCTCCCTGCAGCTTTCCCTCCCTGAGCTGACCTGAGCTTGCTGCTACCTGGACTGGAGTGGACGCAGGCAGGCAGCCATGGCGACGGGGGCGGTGCTCTCCTCCTCCTCCTCTTCACCAGCAGCAGCAGGTGCGTACCCAGCCAACCCACACACGGCAGATTCTTCATTCCCCTCCCTCCTTACTCTCTTGGTTACTACCGTAGATACTGAATTTTGACGGACAGTTTCACAGATAAAAAAACACTAGGGCAAGTAAACAAACACTAGGGATTTTCATAGGAAAATCATATGTGATTTGGGATTCCAGAGGATCTTTCCCCCCCCTGTAGATGCATTCGGTTTGTAGGAAAACAGAGCGTAGGAATTTCTTTCTTAGGAACACTGCTCATTTCCTGTGTGTGTGTGTGTGTGTGTGTGTTTTCATTTTCCTCCTAACCCAACCGCATGAGTTAGTTGTGTCTTGTTTTCCCCTTCAGAGGCCTCTGCAATTCTGTTGCATGTATACTCAACTGCTAGCTGCTCTTACACACATACAGGAAAGCAGCAGCAGCATGACACCATGATGATGATCAGCTACTCCTCTACGTCGTCGCCGCGCACCAGGTGGCCGGTGTGCTCCCAGCTGGTTGCCGGAGACAGAAACGGAGGGACCGGCCGGCATGTCGCCAGGAGCACCGGGAACCAACTCTCTGCCCACATTCAGCAGCCTCTGCTAAACTCTCCTCCAATGAGGCTCTGCAACAACAATGCAGGCCTGCTGAAGAGGAGGCTCCTGTCAAGGGTCGACTGCTTCCTACTGTCCTCCGACCCTGTTACAAATGGCTGGCAGAAACCCAGGAACCTCGCCGGCCTCGACAGCGCCGGCGTGCTGCAGCCCGAGTACAGGGCGCCCGTCAGAAAGCAGCGCCGAGACTGCAGGGCCGAGCAGTACGAGATGACCGGGGCGCCAATGGGCGACGTCCCCGCCGAGGCGGCCGTCCTGGTCGGAGGAGACGCTGCTAGCCCAGAGGCCGTTTCTTCTCCCGCGTGGTGGCAGCAGTTCCCCAAGCGCATGACCATCGTCGTCCTCTGCTTCTTCTCCTTCCTGCTCTGCAACATGGACCGTGTGAGTTCCTCCTTTATTACTGCCTCCTTGCACAATGGTCATTGAGCTGCTTAAGGTTGTCGCTGTTTTATTACTGCTCACAGCTTACCAACTGAATTCTGCCAGGTCAACATGAGTATCGCCATCCTGCCAATGTCAGCAGAGTTCGGCTGGAGCCCGGCAACCGTTGGCCTCATCCAGTCTTCTTTCTTTTGGGGTTACCTTCTCACTCAGGTGCATTGCTATACTCGTACCTAGACATTTTATTTTTCTCTGCATTTGTTTCTTATTGTTCACCTTCGCTTGCAGTCGCAGAGGCTTGATTTTAGTTTCAGTTTCAACTAAAATGTACATTGGGCACCGTCCTTGATGGCCTGTTTGTATGAAAAGAATAGGCATTTGATTTCGTCAACTTGTGTTGCAGATTCTTGGAGGCATTTGGGCTGACCGGTTTGGCGGCAAGGTGGTTCTTGGGTTCGGGGTTGTATGGTGGTCTATTGCAACAATTCTTACACCATTTGCTGCCAAGCTTGGCCTTCCGTTCCTACTCGTCGTGCGTGCTTTCATGGGGATAGGCGAGGTAGAGATGTCTTCTACTGCCCCTCTAAATTACTTTATGCTATTCATCAGATGTATAGACAACATATGCCTTAAAATGTATGGATCATCAAGTATTTTGGATATATATCAGCTTCTTAAAACTATTAGTAGCACAGACACTGTTAATAAATCAATTTCTTGTAGCAATAAATGCCTTTTTGGCTTGTTTTTCTTATATCTATCTTTCCAACAGGGTGTCGCCATGCCGGCCATGAACAACATCCTTTCCAAATGGATCCCGGTTTCAGAGAGGAGCAGATCTCTTGCATTAGTATACAGTGGAATGTACCTTGGTTCAGTTACCGGCCTAGCCTTCTCACCTTTCCTGATAAGCAAATTCGGCTGGCCTTCTGTTTTCTACGGATTTGGGTCCCTGGGAAGCATCTGGTTTACACTGTGGCAACTCAAAGTAAGATATACCATTTTCTGGCACTAGTTTCTCACTTCCTGTTCTGCAGTACTAGTTTCGTATAACTTATGTTCGTCGTCATTGTTATTCAGCTAATTTGCTGGTCTCTGTTCTAATTAGGCACGCAGCTCCCCGAGCGAAGACCCGGAAGTAACCGAAGATGAGAAGAGGCACATACTAGGTGGTAGTACCATAAAGGAGCCTGTTAGCTCCATACCATGGAAGTTAATCCTATCAAAGCCTGCAGTATGGGCTCTCATAGTATCCCATTTTTGCCATAACTGGGGAACATTCATCCTCCTAACATGGATGCCCACATACTACAATCAGGTAATTTAAATAATGCAGAATGTTTGGCATTCATCATCGCTCGTATCAGACAAAGGACACCATGTCATGTCATGCTGTACTCGCCGAACGGTTTTATACAGGTTCTGAAGTTCAATCTCACCGAGTCCGGGCTTCTCTGTGTCTTGCCATGGCTGACAATGGCCGTGTTTGCAAATATTGGTGGCTGGATAGCTGACACACTTGTCGCGAAAGGGGTTTCGATAACAAATGTTCGCAAGGTAAGTTCAGTTTCAGTACCTTGTGTGTTTCCTGTATGTTTTTTTTTGTGTGTGTGTGTGTGTGTGTGTGTGTGTGTGTGCTGTGGGCAAAAAGTTCGTTCTGCGCATAGTTGCCAACCTTGACATACTTGGCAACCTGTTTCCGTGCAGATCATGCAATCTATCGGTTTTCTTGGACCGGCCTTGTTCCTGACGCTGCTGAGCAAAGTCCGCACACCGGCCATGGCGGTGCTGTGTATGGCATGCAGTCAGGTTTGCACCTTTTTTTTTACATGATCAGGTTTGCACTTCAGATACCCAAATAAATGTTGTGCTATAACCGCTTGCTGATATTTCTGTCCATCTTTTTTTGGTAGGGGAGTGATGCTTTTTCACAGTCTGGGCTGTACTCGAACCACCAGGATATAGGACCGCGCTACGCGGTAATG